CTGTAAGGCTTGCTCAAGAGCACGCCCTGAGATCGCTGCAAGTTTCGACCCCTGAAGTGTTCACTCGAAGTGTGTCAAAAAGTGATGGCTCGCGCACGACCGGCTTGGCAGAGTTCAGTTTCAAGGCTCGCGCCGGCCGCTTGGTCGCTCTCAGGGCTGTTCCGTTCTCTTTCGAGTGACATGTGGGAGTTCTCTTGTTCAAGACCAGGAACCACCTTGTTTTTCCAACTAGCCATGGTGGATCGCACCACCTACACAGATGCTGATCACACGCCCGACCTGCCGTTGCGCCAGATCTTTGGGCGCCAAAGGGTTCCGCCGGATCTGTGTAAGACAGTGGCCGACGCTCGTCTGTTGACGGTCGAGACGTTCGCCATGTTCGGAGATACGATCGCCCCAGTGAAGCAAACCCTCAAAGCCATGATCACTGACCCGTTACAATTCGGGCCGGATGGACCAGCTCAGGAACTAGCTCTCACCACCCTAGCCGCGGTGTGGAAGACATGTTCTACCATGCAGGACCATTTTGCCGCTCGGCGGGCCAAGATGGAAGAGGATCCGTCCAAAGTCCCGGAAATCCCGGGCGAGGATCACGCAGAGTTTCGTGAACAGTTCATCGCTCGACACCCAGATGTTTTGCTCCCCCACCACAGGGAACCACACCGCAAGTTCGTTGAGCGGCTCCAGCGTGATTTCCTCGTCCATGGGGCGGTCAATTTCTATGAGGTGGGCGAGATGCGCACTCGCAACGAGTCGATCGCCCAGAAGTCCGGTCTGAGTAAAAATGCGGAAGACCTCCTGAAAGTGGTTCAGGTTGATCAACCAGTTCACGCAGCCTCCGAAGCCCAAGTGATGGACAAACTGCACGCCTTCTTTGTTGCTCTCGAATACCTCAACAATTTGTGAGTTCTCATACAAAGCGGGCCCCTTGCAGTATCTGTCAGACTTGGAGGAGTGGCGGCATGAGAACAGGGGGCTCGCCTTGTTGCTGGCCGCTGACACCCTGATCAGGAAGAAGGTCTACCGTTTGAACTCAGATCACAAGCAGACTTCAAGCAAGCAGGACAGTCCTCCAGCCCGGTCACTCCACCACGTGGTCAGGGCACAAAGAGACAGCGCTCGCGGACTCCGCCGGCTCCGACGGCCAAGGCTAAGAAGAACAAAGCTCGCCGAGAGCGGGCCAAGGAACAGCTCCGGTCCCTCAAAGCGGCTCAGAGCGCTCCAACAGGTGCTCGCAAAGACAAGCCGAACGGCCCCAAGCCGTCTCGTGATGCCCGGATCCCGGCCGAGGAGTGGACCAAGGTCAATTCCTTCAAGTACTCAGGTCCACGCCGTTGTCCTTTCTACAATTGCTCAAGTGGTTGTCGTTTTGGTGATCAGTGCAAGCACAAGCACGCCTGTGTTGAGTGTGGCCAAGGCCACCCTTGGCACGGGAACCACTGAACGCTCGGGCAGCCCCCCTGGAGGACCTTGCCCCACCTCCGGGGGATTTTCATGGGGGCCAAGCGGCTGAGTCGCCTCCAGTGGCTCGGACGCGGCGGGCGTGGTCTGAGGTCCCTCTCCGGCTCCAAGACGTACGTGTTCACGGACCTTTCTTTCTAGAAGTTTTCTCTGGAACCGCTCGGCTGACACAACACGTTTTTCTCCTGGGTATGCCGGTCCTGCCCCCGGTGGATGTTGAGCTTTCTGAATGGGTGCCTGAGATTGCCGATGTCCTTGATGCACAGTTCTGGCAGCGGATCATGAAGCTCGCTCATGCGGGTCTGTTGTTCTTTGTGCACCTGGGCACGCCGTGCAATACCTTTAGCTCTGCCCGGAAGCTCGACAATGGACCACCTCCCTTACGCTCCAAGGACAAGCCTATGGGACTTGGAACTCTGTCGCTCGACAATGCTGCATTGGTGTTTCTCGGCAATATGTTTCTGGCTCGCTCGGTCGAACTGGCTCTTGTGGTCTTCTTCACGGGGGGCGACTTCTCCATCGAGAATCCTCTGCTCAGCTTGATCTGGCTCACCCCGCCGATGCGCCACCTGACCAGCTCGGCTCGTGCGATCGACTTGGACCTGGACCAATGCATTTTCGGTGCTCCTTCTGTGAAACCCACTCGTTTGAAGGTTTCGTCGGAGTTCCTGGATGACGCTCGGAAAACTTGCCCGGGTGACCACTCTCATGTGCGCCTCAAAGGGCAAGTATGGGACGCTCGTCGACAACGCATGGTGTTTCGCACCAAGCTGGCGCAAGAATACCCTCACGCTCTGTGTGGCGTCCTGGCCCTCGGCGTTCACCGGCTCTGGAGACAAGATGATGCTCACTTGGCACTGACGTTCGCGTTGACGACCCCTGCTGCCGATCGGAAACGAGCTCTTGGTTCTGGACGCCCGTGGTTGGGTCATCGTCAAGCACAGACCGCACAAGCGGCCCTGCGTGCAGGGTATCAGCTCAAGCGTGGGGCTCAGAAGCCGCTCCTCGAGATCGAGATGGAGCCGGGGCAAGCAATCAATTGGGCTCTGCGTGTGACGCACCCGTTCACTCTGCCAGTCGTTTTGGAGCCGGCGATCGCGGCTAGCATTGACAGCTTGGTTTCGAACGTGTCGGAGGTTGTTCACCTACGTCTTCAAGCTCTGCAGTTCTGGGAAGCTGAAGCTCACCGTCTGTTGCCGGCGTCGCTCCGGCTGATCAACGCCCAGCCTGATCCCTACCTACGTCGACTGCTCAAAGGGTGTGGTGATGATCAGACACCAGTGTTGGGACAAGTCTGCCATGTAGCTCTATACGAAGCCATGCTCCAAGCCTGCAATTCGTGCGATCGCACCCTGCCCAATGATCTGGCCCACGGGTTCAACATCGTGGGGCCCATTGCTTGTTCAACTCGGTGGCCACCTTACGATAAGCCACAGAAGGTGGTCCCAGTGGACGTTGCTTTGGGTCGGGCCTGGGAGTTGCGCAAGAAAATTGTGTCTCGTGTTCACGGGGTCCCAGTCACTGACAATCTCAAGAAGATCTGGGAGGCCACTCTGGAAGACTGCCAAGAAGGGTCATGTGTAGGACCCTGGGCTTCCGAACAGGAGATCTCCTCCTTCCTGCAGTGTGATGACTGGATCCCTACACAAAGGTTTGAGGTGGTGCAGAAGAACAAGGTCAGAGGTTGTGACAGTGCCACGACAAATTTGATCAATCAAATCACTGAGATCTCAGAGAAACTGCAGCTCCCCTCCACTGACACCAACGTGGCGGCCTTGAGGAGGCTCCGCTCGGAGTTGCCAGAGGATGAGCTTGGCGGTTGGGTCTTGGACGAGAGGAAGGCGTATCGTCAAGTCGCCATTCGCCCTGATCAGAGAAAGTTTTCAGTGATTTGTTTGAAGAACCCTGAAACTGATCAGCCTGCGTTTTTCGTCATGATCGGTCACTCGTTCGGGTTAGTGTCGGCGGTCTATAACTATAATCGACGGTCGGCTGCTATCAACGAATTTCTGGTTAAACTGTTTAAGCTCGTAGCCTTTAGTTTTTACGACGACAAGTATGGGTTTGAACCGCTCGGCTCAGTGAAGAGTGCTCGCTTAGCAGCCGAATGTGTTCACACCTGGCTCGGAGCTCATTTTGACCAGAAGAAATTGCAGCTGTCCTCGTCCCCGACGATCCTGGGGGTGACCTACAACCTGAGTGAAATGCAGCTCGAAATTAAGCCCGATCGGCGGAGTGATTTGACCGCAGAGATCCAGGGCATTTTAAGCTCAGACGTGTTAGACCCGGGGACGGCTGGGAAGCTCAAAGGAAAGCTTATGTTCGGGGCCTCCCAGCTCTGGAGCAAAGTAGGTAGGGCCTTTTTAAGAGTGATCTCGGAACGTCAGTATATGCGTCTGCCGCTCGGTCCGAAATTCGGTCTTGATCCACCTTTAAGGGAGGCTCTCAAACAGTGGCTTGTATTGATCGAAGCCGGCCCCCCCAGGACGATCGATCGACAAATTTCGAAGCGTGCAGACGTTGTAATTTTTACTGATGGTTTCACCCCTGATCCTCGTGAGGCTCTCGCCACTCGCCTCCCTGACCGAGTCGGGGCGGTGCTGTTCGATCGCAGACTGACCAAACCCCGCCAGTTCTCCGAAGTGATTCCCTTGAGTATTTCAAGAAAGTGGCTCCACAGATCAACCCAAATCATCCCGATCGAGATGATGGCACCAGTGCTCGCACTGGAAACGTTTGCCGATCGCCTCGTAAACGCGGATGTTATTTTGTTGATCGACTCTGAAGCTGTTGAAGCAGCCCTGATCAAGGGCTATTCGAGCAGATCAGACGTCTGTGAGATCATATCTATATTTTGGGAACGTGCACTGCGGCTCCGCTGTAGGATTTTTATCGATCGAGTCTCGACGGACGCAAACCCCGCAGACTGGCCGTCGCGGAATGATCTGAACAGAGGCCAGGAGGCGGGGTGGTGTACGGTTCCTGCAGAGTGGCCAAAGTGTTTCATGTTCTCGTAGGGCCTGGGGAGAGGATCCTTGATCTGTTGACTGGGTAGTTCCTCCTGCAGATGTTCATCAGACTGTTTGTGTGTTTGATTTCCTGTTGTTCAACCTTGATGGTTTGATGACCAGCCTGACTGTTCAGGGGGCACCAGTCTCATGATCTCTCAACAATCATTTACTGGATCGCTCGACCCCATGCCAGACGCGATCAAAAGAGTGTGTTGCGTCTGCTGCCCTTTTCTGTGAAAGATCAGCTGAAAGTGTGTGTTCACACACGGCGTTGCAGTTGTTGAGTA